CAGTAAACACTAACAAACATCCATCCGTCTAACATTAGTATAATTAGTAAGACAAAGCTGTTGATGGTTGAGGAAATATCCAATCTTTAGAGTAACACGATTAATTAAATTTTGGTATTTAAAATATTTCAGTTTACCTTTTACACACTATTCTAGTGAATCAGTTTTAAAGGTAACGGAATTATTTGATTCATCACGTAAGATGTTGTGTGTTCTTTTCAAGGTATCATGTAAGAAAAGTGATACGTTATGTTAACATAAATACGCTGTACCTTGTGACACTCGGCAGACAATCGCGTGACAGGAAGAGAGATGAGGGCACTCTATCAAGGGGCCTGACAACGGACTTGAATTTCTTCGATTTGTCCTTTCATTGTGCGTCCTAAAGTGTGACAACAAAGCGAGAGAGCCGTGTAATGTCCCTCGTAAAACAATAAACCACCAGCGGCGCTCGCAGCCCGGCTCGGCACTCGCCCTGCCACTGCCGCGTCCCCAACCACTGTTGTAAACGAATAGAACGAAACCAGAATATTCCCTATATCTCCTAAAATGCGAAAATAACATTTAAGACCCAAATTTTCAATAATTAAAAAATTAACCTCTAAAATAGCATCTCAACTTTATAAGAACAAACTCTTCCAAACTCTACTAAACCATTTCCTCTTGTATAATCTATACAAGGACTATAAAAGTTCTAGTTTGTTGTTTTATGATCCACTTATAAGTTACGATATGTTAAGAGTTAACATCGTTATGCGTTTTATTATTTAACATTATTAATATAAATCTTTGTCCTCTTCAAGAAATACATAACAAATGTCTGAGTGCAGCGGAGGTTGCTCAACAACTACGGTTTATTTATTATTCAGTTTGACATTTAAAACTTCCCTATAGTCATTAAAATGGTACTTTCTTAAAGAAGTCACAAAGCAAATGAGCACAGATTAAAATATATGTAAGTGCGACAATAAAAAGCGGAATAAATCAATCGAATAAAGGGGGATATCGATAGCGATCGCGGTATCGAGTCACTAATGAATCGATAATCATCGAGCGGGTCGGCGCGGCGCGGCGTGGCGCGGGCGCAACACTAGCGCAACATCATTGTGATGTATGAACGCAGATAAATCTATTAAGAGATGACAACTCCATCGCACGGCTGCGGCGGTTGCGGCGGGGCATCACACACACTTAATTATTATTATTTTAATGTTATTATTCAAATTATCATAATCTCGGCCGCCATATTTATAGCGCTCGAATAATCCTTTTCGATTCGCCGCTTAAGGTCCTCAAGGGTCGTCGCTCACTTAGAAAACAAGATATTTGTTTCATAAATAAATTAAAAATGACATTATAAATTAACAAATATAGTAGGCAAACAAAGTTGAGATAATCATTCAATTACAGAATTTTAGAACTAAAGAACGCCTTTTTAGTCTTAATTTGTAACCTAACTTAAATAAAAACCCTACAAATATCGATCATTTTGTGCTAAGCATTAATTGGAACGAAATGTTTAGATCATTGCAGCAGTGTCAGTGTGCGTCAAGCTTTAATAGGTGTAAACGCTTTATAAAATACACTCAGGGATACATCGGAGACAATTTATTTAAGGAAAGATACCTTCTTGGGCCCGCGTCTCAGCATCCAGTGATTATCGACCGTAATACAAGACAATAGAGCTCTATTTGTATTAATAAACACACAGAGGTCCTATAAAACGTAAGTTTAAAGATATAGGGATGAAATGTATGTGAGTGTTGTTGTTGAGTGTGTGTGCAGCGGCCACGTGATTGCAAAACTAATAACTTATGCCACGCGGAGGCGTCCCGCTAATTTAGTTGTCACGCTCGCCGCTTACTCTCATACTTACACGCTCCTTGCTTTTATTGTAATTAGAGGATATCGCAAACGTAGGCACAAGTTCCTTTTACATCAAGCGATTTTAATAACAAATATAATCCATAGAGGTATGGATTATATTTGTTATTAAAATCGCTTATAAATAAATATTTTGAATTCTAGACCTAAAGTTTCCTACGTTTTAAAAAGAAATCTTACGCAGCTTCTTTTTATATTAGTATCATGCGATAATTACTTACCGAGAAAATTTCTTGTGCTGTTATAGTAAGAATAAGAACAAAAATACCTGGGTTTGGATAAGTTAATATATGTTTGTCTTGTTCCAACACACCTCACAAGGACGTGTTAGTGCTGATCAATATTTCTGTTAAAGGTATGTATGAAGGTATGGTGCAAATGGCGGCGGCAGGAAGTGCCGCAACCTGAGCCACTTCCGGTGCGGGGGCGGGGCGGGACGCGGGAGAGGGGCACCGCCACACCCACCTACCAACGCTCCACTGCCTTGTTTACAACAAAATAATTCACTCTACACGTCGTTGTGCCTACGTCCTAGTGCTTAACTTTAGTACATGCATCTTGGTACCTATACAACAATCTGTTGTTAACTATTTTATTTTATTTGTTATTTCCGTAAAATAAAGCATAATCTACCTTTACACATCAACACTTAGCGATTGTCTTACCGTAAGATAGGCTACAGGTCTGCGTCACCCGGGCAAAACATAAAGTGCAACACCGACATAAACTACGCGATATGTAGGAAATAATCACTTACTTTGTCATAAGTGAATAGTGAATTAGAAGAAGACAACAGTGTTTTAAGCGCTATTGACATCCATCTATCAAACAGTTATCGATATCATCCCAGGTTTGACAAGAACGTGCCCGTAATTAAGGCATCAGAACATCAATCATCTCGTCCACCTTGCGGTGCGGGGGGGGGGCGGTGCGGCGGGGGAGGAGAGGTTGCTGTCAAAATGTTTCCGCAGTCGGGGATTTCATTAAGCCAGGAGGAGCGGCGCTGGTCTTTGACAAAAAAACAAACGCGTCCAGAGCCCGCGCGGTGTCGGGTTGCCGCCCTCCTTCCCGCGCCCGCGCCCCTGCCGATAGGGTTACCCGATACACTATTATGCCATTATTTGGGAAATACTAATTGTGAAGGCTTTCGGATGCTCCTTCTGTTCGCGGCAACACTCTCATCGCCGCCGACAATGTTCTCAAATATACGTATTACTTCAGTACGTTTTTGTCACTATTCGGTATTGTGGTATTCGTGTATTAATGTTAACACAATATGGATTTGTTTAGTATACAAATACCTTTTAAAAATTAAACTTTCCCCATTTCTGTCAAAAAATACTGCTTCGAGAACCTGAAAAAAAAACATTTTCTACACAAGGAGCGACACTCGTGTCTCATTTCAACATATCATGTTACAGAAAGTTAAAAAGCTAATGAGAATGTAACTCGCGACAGTTGTACAAACAACTGATCGCTGGCTGCGAGACACGACACCACGTAACGTATTGGTAGGAGAAATAAATTATTTACAAGTTTTCTGCTTCAAAATAACTTATTATAACTTGTTTATATTACAACATCAAAGGCACAACACTTAAAACAACATTCTCGTCTAATGAAATGTCCAAGTAATTTAATGAATTAACTTTCGGATTATTTTTTCACCAAAGTTACGTAAAAATTAACGCACCGGGAAATAGATATCATGTTACACTAAAAAATATTTATAAACAACAAAAATATCTTATGACTTGCACAAAGGTGGCGTCTGTCAAATGTTACGGAGCTTGAACAAATATTGTTGCAGCGCTTTTTACTGCAGCCGGAGACGTTACGTTACATCCGAAGTGTTGAGTGTCAGTAGCTGAATGAAACTTAAAGATTAGATATCACAGTAAAGATCAAAACCATTTTATTTAAATATTGGACGTTTTAAACATTGAATTATAAATATTGCTAGCTAAACGAAAGTTAAGTTTTTTCCGAGAAATTCTTGCATCTTTCACATCTGTCCAAGAGTTTGCCCTTTCGGTAGGAACGGGGTTTTCGCGTCAATGACAGGTTCCCACACCGCGTCACTCGTCCACTCAGCGCTCAGCATGATGGCAAAGGCATCAAGGTGCATTCTGCTACTTTGAAGACGCAACCGACTGGAATAATCTCATTGACTTGTTGACATTTCCACTGTACTCATTGCTCATTGTGTATCATTTTGAATTGTAAATGTAAAGCCTTTTGGCAACACTTAACAATGCACAAACTCAAAGAAAATAATTCTACTTGTGTCCGATGAGAACGTACCATTTTAATCAAGAGAGTCATTTAGTTACTCAACTTGAATACTTTACAAATATCGTATTACCTAATTGTGTATAGCTTTTGCGCGCGAAACCGTCCGCGTGCAGTTTTAAAAAAACTAAGTAGCCTGTGTGTTCATCCGATCTATGTATCTATGCCAAATTTAATCAGGATCCGTTGAGCCGCTTCTTTTCTACCAAACACCTAAACGGGATAAATATCCATCTAATCTATAAAGCGTATCTGTAATGAATGTCTTAGATTTTTTTTTTGTTATAAAATCTGTATTTTGGGAGCAGCATTATTTTTAATCCCATAATATTAAAGAATTACAAAAAAAAATTTACATAATGTACTCGTATTCAATAAGCTATTTTTTCCAATTCTACTTGTGGGATAGACTGACATCTATTGTCAAAAAGTAGCTACATATAACTTCATATAGAAATTTTCTTCAGCGCCATCTTTTGCTGAGTAGCAAAACGCATCAAAAGTAGAGACATCTATTAAAGAGTTTGGGTAACGAAACTCAAACGTGTCGATTTTAATGTGAAATTATTTTGAATTTTGTAAGATAGATGTCTCTTATAAAAAGTATTGATCTTTATTTCGAAACCTTTTTTAGTTTTTACCCTTTTCGCTCTTTTCACTTGTAGTATTAGAATTCTCGAAGAATCGAAGAATTCTCTGTAGTAATAGAATTCTCATTAGGTTCTATAGTGAACACAAAATAATGATTAGCTCAGTAATACAGCAAGTTAATTATAATATGCCTACATAAACCGCTGGCGTTTGGTCAACTAAATAAAATCACATTTTAAAAAGATAACATTACCTTTACTATGAAATTTTATAAGCAATATTATACATTACAATTTAATACAAAAAACCGTAAGATATACAGTTATAGAATCCAATAAATACATTGAACTCACAACTGAGACAACTTCGTATTTAGTCACAAAATACATACGCTGGTTACATTTGTATACTTACAATGGCACTTTATAATACAATTTAGATCACAAATCTCATTTGTGTGACAAGCAGACTACCCTAGTTGCTGCAGACATCCATCGCTCTGCAAATAAATACAAAATCCTACGTAAACATCCCGAGTGATGTCATAGTCAAAATTTTACACCACTGGCATTTACATAGCAAACATTCAAATCTTACCATTTTATATATTAACTTTATGAATACGTTTTATATAGTTGTATTGTATCAATATTATACAAACATTTCTAATTTTGTGTTTACACTAAAGCAAGAAACATCAAAATCTTATTCAAGCAAACATCTCACAGCAATATTTTAAAAAAGAATATTAAACAAAAATGTCCTCTCACTTTACAAAAACTATGCATGCATGCAAGCATGCTATGCGCAGAAACAAAGTCCCCGTGTCAGTACATGAACCAGCATTTTGTTGGCCACACATTAATCGCTAAAGCATTGCAGAACGCCCAACCATATAAATATACAATAACCTGGCAAGTATCATTGAACTAGCTTCTACGCAACATTTTATATTGACAGGAAAACAGTCAAATAGCGCGACCTACACCCTAACAGAAAAACTTCCTCTGCTTCGATTCAAAGTCATCATCACTGTCGGAGAAGCACGCTGTAAACCCACTCTTATCCCGAGAGTCCCGTTTCAATAACTGTCTATCACCTGCAGACTTTTTTAACTGAGTACACCTGACACTTTGACGCTTCTTCTTTCCAGAATTTTCCAATAAGTTAGTCTCCGTGGGGCCCGCCACGTTCACCGCAGCCATTGAACTCAATTGTTCCGTGGAGTTGCTAAGAACCAGAACAGAGTTGTCCATTTGTCCCGCTCTCTGGTTTATCTTACGTCCGCTTCTCGTTCGGGAAACAATCTCTTCTTCGGAGTTTTCTTTGCGGTCAGAGCTGGTCAATTCACTCGACTTTTTACAGATTCGTTTACGTCTATCTGTAGCACTTCTGGTATTATTAACTTTAGTAGGAGTGCTTTCGGTGTTACAATTCCGTTGTCTTTTAGGATACCTGGACGTGCCATTTGATTGTGCGGTTTCATCAACATTGCTGACCTCGTTGTCATTATTACATTCTTTATTATCAGATTGCTTTGGATTCATAAATTTCAATAAGGAAGTTGAGCGACTAACTCTTGTGACTTTAGAATTCTGCTTCGAAGTGACCAAGTTGATGACATTCTGAGATGAGTCCGTACTGTAATTCAGAATAGTTGAATCCTGTGGCCCCGTGTTCATAGACTTATTAACACATACAATTGTCTTGCTCTCCTGTTTCTGTGGGCTTTCTTGTGATTCCTTGATAAAAGTCCTGTTAATCTTATTTCTCATATTCCTTGGAGTCTTTGTTAAATGAGTTTTAGTAGAACGTATATAATTAGCAGTGAAACCAGATACATCACTGTCATCTTCTAATTTTCCGTTAACTACCCCAGGCTTTGACTTGTCATTAACATTGCTGCAGGGTGGCTCTTCCATTTCCACATCTGGTGCAATAGTTTTCGTCTCATCATTTGGAAGTTTAGGGCTCTGATTTTCTGGTGAATTTTGTGAAGCCGGCGGAGGCTCTAGAGGCAATGTTTTATTTATTACTTTAATGGTACTATCCAATTGGTTGTCATTTAAAGATTTCTGTAGCTTCCTAAGACTGCGTCTTAAAGCTGTTACTTTAGGAGTTGATGTCACCATTTTATTCTTTTTTTCAAAATCCATTTTGCTCTTTTTCTGTAGTCGCATCCTTTTTGGTTTAACCACTGTTGAGGATTTTTTAATGATGAAGTCGTCATCAGACCCATTAGAGCTAGCTTTGACATTGTTTTTGGAGACTTGGGGCTGAGTATCCGATGTGAAATAAAATGCGCTTTGATCTTTCTCAGTTGAGACAGAGTCTTGATCAATCAGCACCAGTTTTCGCTTATTTTTTTTCCTAGGAGAAGGCACTTCTTTAACTGCTTTACTTTTAGAGTTATACTTTGAGCAATGGGCTTGTTCTTTAGGCTTGTTATTGGTTTTGTCATATGTGTAGAGGCATGGCGCACGTTTAGTGTGCACCCAGTAGGAGATCTCCTCCATGTTGTTCATAAAGGGAGTGTCAGGGGGCTTAACTTTCCAGTAGAAGTTTTCATGAGCTGGGTCCATGCTGAGGAGCACTGGCTCCGGATCAGGTGCAACAGGCACTGCAGCGGCGACATCCAGTTGCAGCTCGCGCGCACCACCATGTCGCTCCCGCTCGACGACACCCCCATTGCCCGCTGCCTCGAAATCACCAAATCCATCGTTTTCACATTCCATACACCTGTAATTTTACAATCGAACTTTAACACATTTACATATTTCAATAAGTTTCCAACAGTAAAATTAGTATTGATTAGAAATATCAAACGTAGTCTTCGAAAAAAATTGCAATTCTTAGAAGTTTGACAACTCAAACCACGGCAGTTATATGCAAACGTTTTGATGGTTGTTACGTTTTGTACACATATAAACATTAAAAAGTTCAAAATACATTGAACTTAACGATATTTGCAGGTTTACATTGCATCGCACTACACAGCATCGCTTAAATTACGTATAAATCCACGCCGAACCGTTCAACACAGCTTTGCTTCTAATGACGAAACAATGCCTTGTTATTACCTTAATACAAATACAGGTATCGAAAATGCAATTTGCACTTGACAAACTTATCCATTTAAGTAAATTAACAAATACTTTTCATGAAGTTTAAGCTATAGGTGAATACAATACAAAATCAAAATGAGTAGTAAACTCGCCGCAGAGGAAAACTAGGCAGTAATGTTGCCATGGTTGTTCAATAAAATGTACCAATATGTATACTTCGCTTCTTTGTATCGAATTCCTATGAATAAAACGGTTATTACTGTACTATGGTATATTAAATAATGAAACAAGCTAGCTTGCATTTTAATTAAACTTAAACAACTAAATAACTTATAACACCTTTATTTAACACAATAAATTTAACAACACAACTAAATCAAAGATTTTTACACTTAGACAATAGCGCTCGAAAATGTTATTCAACTGGCATAATATGTGCACTAACTGTCGCCAGTGAATCTATACAATCCGTTCCTGTCGAACTGCATTGGCCAACAAGGAACAATCATGCCCAGTACACACTAGGCCAGTACAGTTGGTCTTGTTGCTAATAGTAAAACACAATTTTGTTGTGACTTAATCAAATTCCCAGGGACCTGGACCAAAAGGAGCGCCCAAGTTCTGCGAAATACATTCTCTCACATAACCGTTTAAGGGAAAAGTAAAGGCCGGAAAAAAAATTGGCTTAGGGCGCTGGTATTGCTAAAAACGACACTGTCTTCTCTACTGCAACAACAACCGTAAATGTTCCGCCAAAATCGCGAAAATCAAGTATGCTTTATATAATGTCAATGGTGCATCATATTTTATATGCTGTTAATTTTACGATACCTATGTGTATTTGCTCTTTGGCGTTAATTGTCAATGTCATGTCCAATTTTTGCGGGTAAAATTGGCTTTTTATGTTTCTTAAATAACAATAACGTGCATTAACTGAAAACTAATTTTTACGTTAAATGCAATGTGTTTCTAAGAAAAAGCCAGTATGAACGACGTGCAGAATATCATAGATCGTCAGTTGGGCATATGTAAGTGGTTACATTTAGGACTGAAGCATATTTTTGTCGATCGTTGTAGAAGGATAGTTTGTTTTTTGTTATAGTTTGCCGTTTTAACTACGATAATATTCTGAAGCGCCTGGTTGTGAGTGACGAGGAGTCATTTTACGGAGCATTGAGCTCAGAGCAGGACCCGCCTATCTTCGCATGCCGATTCGCAGAAGCCGCCGGTTACGAACACATTCTTGCTCTTGCCAATGAAGATGGGAGGGTTGTTATTCAGGTATTTTATAATGTAAATGTTTATTAACGCTATAACATAGTTCAAAGTAACATAACATCTGTACTGCACTACACACGCAATAATTATGCCTAAATACAATAGAATAATAATAAATGAAGAGCTATGTTTAAGTTTTTATATCAGTTTTGGATTTATTCACAAAGTATGGAATAAGTTTCCTTTATAACAGTAATATATTCAATTGTAATCATTTGTTATCCTCTAGATACAATCAAAACATGACATTGATGTCTTTGACATAATATCCTCATTAAGATTGAGAAATAAAAACAATAACTTTACATACATACACTTCTTTATCTAATTTTAGTACAGTTTCTTGTACAAGCTATGGTGTAGCATGGTTGAGTAAATATGTTATGAAGAAAATCTGAATAGATTATAATCAACAAAACGGTAGGAAATTTGTAATTGAATATAAGTTGTTGATTAAAAGATAAATGATCAGGTATAAACCAGATTATTTTGCTTAAACATTAATTAGATTTAGCAGTATTTGGAACATTGATAGCATTGTTTTCAACCTAAATCTTTGCCACTTAGCGGCTCCTATCATTGATTGATTAAGGCATATATTGAACAAAGCTTTTTTTTTTATTTTTAACTTTTTATCTTGAATGATATGATATCTTTTATATATGTATTTGTTGTGAAAAAAATAATCGAACACACACACAGACATATACAGATAAGGTTGTGTGTCAAGTAGACTCCCCACTGAATTTCTCGAGCGCTGTGGCTGTGTGCAACAAGCATATAAATAGGGTGGTGTATGCCTCTTGTTCATTCAGTCACTGGTTACACCTCGGGGAGTACACTTGTGTGTACGCGATGTTCTTAACCGCTCTCCTCTTGATGTATTCAGTTCCTTAAGAAAGAGCCTTATGAAGTTCCATTTAATATACCCCTATCGATATTCTTATCGATACATTCGTGTGTCGTAGTTATGTGATCTGTGTGACAACGCGATCATAATAGTCTACTTTATCGCACACAATTTGATAACTTATATATTATCTGAAAGAGTATACAAATAACAAGAGTCGGGAGTACCTACTCAAGAATAGCATCTACCAAAGGAGCCAAGCAGGGAAGCTCAAATCAAGTTCACTTTCCGGAAATGGGCATCTTTTGCGAAATAAACTTGCATAAATCAAATGACGGAGTCTTCGTAGCCGGAAGTAAAGTGCAAGGAGTTATAAGATATGCAGTCGATGTAGAAACAACTTTCTCTCAAATTTCTGTATCTCTCAAAGGCAAAGGAGTTTTGAGTATAAAGAGGAAACACAATGATAAGAGCAAAGAGGTCACGCACTGCAGCAGCGAGGATTACTTGGACCTTCAAGACGTAGTCACGGAATCTGACACTAATGTCATTCCTGTGGGCTCGTATGAAATTCCTTTCACCTTCGAATTGCCTGATAACATACCGCCGTCGTTCCGACACACGAGCAGTAACATGCAGTACGCCGTTAGTTGCAACATCCGATATCATGTACGCATCAAGTTCAAAAGACCGGGCTTTTGGAAGTTCGCTAAGACGTACAAGAAAGAGATCGAAGTCGAGTCCGGCATCGTTCCGAGGCTCCCTTTGGATCCCATCATCTACGGGAAGCAGAAAAAGCTATCTCAACTATTCAGTCGCAAGAGTAGTACGATCACCATCAAAGCCGGTGTGGCCAAGTCCGTCCTTGGTCCCGGGGACGCGGTGGAACTCGAATATGACGTTAGAAACGACTCCAATGTGACGGTGAGGGCCGTCGAGACCAAAATCGTGGAAGTTTTTAAATTCACGACGAAATCGAAAACTGTGGAGAGGTCTTTGGACGTGTCGCACGCGGAATGCAAGACGGGCTCGGTGAAGGGCGGCGAGAGTCAGGCCATGAGACTGGCCCTAGATGTGCCACCGGACACCAGGTCCCTAGACTTCTCCGGCCTCGTGTCCAGGGACTATTTCGTGCAGATGACGGTGGAGTTGCCCTTCCCGCACTTCAACTGCGTGCTCCTGATGCCGCTGCAGTTCGGGCAGGAGGGCCGCGCGCGCGCCGCCTCCCCGCCGCCCGCCTACTGGGAGGTCATGCCCGACGACGACAAGGATCACAAAGAATAGCCGATTTACTACACCTTATGAAGATGAAAAACATATTTATTACATCAATTTAAATACTGTGCGAATAAATTATTAAACCTAACGATTGTGTATTTTCTTGTACCATAAGCAATATTGTACCTTTCATTTTCATAACGAAACATGCTGTGGTATGGCGGCTGTAGGCGGTAACGTCGGATTTGATAAAATGTAATTAGTAATCTGATAACATTTTCCAGCACTGAAATTTTCAGAAATCTTAGAAATTCAATTAACGTGATATCGAAGTTGATATAGCGATGACTTTGGCGATATTTTTATCGACATAAACCTCTTGAATTTAAGATACCGTAGTGTATATGTATGTAGAGTATCTTAGATATTGTTTAAATTATCATGTATATGTGGTTCTTTCCGTTCCATTCTCTATATATGTAAGAGAAATAATAGTTTACTATCTGTTTATAACCCAATTGATTTAAATTTAACATGAATCAAAATCAAATTAAAGCTAATATGTTGGACGAACCATTTTGTATCACTCACGTGAAATAATTCAATAATCGCATTTTGAAATACAAAACTACTTGATTTAGGACATGTATTTCCGTATAATTCCTGTTGTGTCAATGCGATATGCGATGTGCGATGTGTGAGCGTGTGACTTGTGGCCAGGACACGTCGAGCCGGCGCGCCGCGAGCT